GAGTCCCCAACAACAGGTGGACATGCATGCAAGGTCAAAAAACACATTCATTGTCTTATAATACGCATTTATTTTTACCTTACTTGCTCAACGACTCCCAAACGATTCGTTTAACGATTCATTTTTCCAAAACCCTCCTTTACGTGACGCTAATCTGCGGTGATTGGTCCGATTGGTCTATTTTCATTTCATCTTGCCTGTAATGCCTGATAAAGCAGCGTTTGTGAGCGCAGTGCTGCTTTGTGTGCAGCGTTACCGGGGAAACCGCTATTTCTACCGCTCCAAAAGTGGCACCTAGTGGCAAAGAATGAATTTGCATTTTCATTCAGACCAACTCGAAAAGACCAACAAGTGGGCGGGCAATATGCTAATACTTCATGTTGACGTCAACATGAAATGGCTTGGGATTCGTAGACGACTCGTTTCAATGATTCAGAGTCGACTCTTTCTTTTGAGAGACAATAACTTTATACACGGTGCACTTTCAGATTTAAAACTTTGCAGGATGTTTTCATTCACTTAGAGCTGTGTTACACAATGCATGAAAGGTAATTTAAAAAAATTCATAATAGGGGCACTTTAAAGTTGTCCAAATGAATCCTTAGCAATGCATATTACTAATCACTAAAACTAATCAAAAAAGTTTTGATATATTTATGGTAGGACATTTACAAAATATCTTCAATGGAACATGATCTTTACTTAATATCCTAATGATTTTTGGCATAAAAGAAAAATCAATAATTTTGACCGATACGATGTATTGTTGGCTATTGCTACAAATATACCTGTGCTACTTCTGACTGGTTTGTGGTCCAGGGTCACATATTTGTGGTCATGCTAGTGTGTGCTCTGTACCTGTCCAGCATCTTGGTGCTGGCTCGCTCCAGCTTCTCCAGTATCTGAGGGAGTTGAGTGTCATCGTCACACGACGGCCCCCAGCCGAGCACCCGCGCCAGGTCATTCCCGGTGCCCAGCGGCAGAACGCCCAGCTGGCACTGTCAACGAGAGACAGTTCAGATCACCGCGCCAGTTCATTAAGAAATCCTCATAAACATCTGCTCTGATACTCTCGTGCCAAGTCCTAACCATACAGCGACAAGTTTACTTTCAATCGTCAGGACATGGTGCAGTACTTTTCAATTACCTGTTTGTGAAGATTTAGTTTATCGATTTCAGACAGGACCCAACCGACGCTTCCATCTCCACCGCACACCAGGATTCGGAAGTTATCGAACTTTTGGAACAAGCGAAGACTTGAAAAGAGAAAAGAACTATTTAACAGACACAAACTCATAAACGCTTCTCAAAAGGTGTCACAAAGTTAAAGGGATCAAGTGAGATTAGGTTTGGGTGGTTGATGTGGTGTGACATGCTAAACTACTTTAAACAGCATTTTTCTAATTCTTATTTGTATTCTTTTTTATGGAAAAATGTATTTGTCCCAGTGTAGGATCATTAAAATGAGCCAAAAATGTGATTAGAACTGGAGAAAATTGTTTAAAAAAATGATTATGGGACTTGAAAAATACACTTTAGATTATACTTTCATATAACTTTAGTATGTTGATGTATAAAAAGTCCTATCTTATGTCAACTACCTATTTTGTAAACAAGTAAAAAAAAAAACACTTATTTGCTTCTAAGACGATAGTCAGTAGTTCACTTCCTATGACCTTTTACATCCTGGTCTTACCCTAAATGAGGTCCACCGTTGACCAGGTCAAAGACCTGAGCGGGATTGAGCAGCTGTTTGAAGCGACGCAGGAATTTTACCCCTTGGTTGTCTCCGCTTTTTGAGTTGACAAACACGAGGAGTGGACTAGCGCATGAGGGGGGACAGGTGGCCTTCCAGAAACCTGACGCAGGGAAAGAGCAAAAAAAGATTAGAGACTTTTTATCTCTAATAGCTTCTTCAACAGGTAGATACCTTATTTTGGCCAAATACTAAGGCAACACCATCCTTCCCAAAAGAAGATAATCCCAGAACGCACTGAAGTGAACGAGGATGGTGGATGAAGTGAGTGAAGTAAACATAATCTATTCTTTACTGGAAAATATCCATAAATTAGTTCTGTCTAGTTAAACATTTATTATTTTACTCAATATTTCTGGATGTGTGTTTTGTATGTGAGTCTCACATTGTTATCTTAGCAACAAGCTAATGTTAAATGCCAAACTGTCACTGATTCATTTGTAAAAACTGACTTACTGTAAAATTGATTTCTAGTGACACACTACAATTCATGGCAATCGAAATAGTAACTGAAAATATTCAGCTGAAAAAAAATACTAAAAATGACCAAAACACAAAGTTTTATTATCGCTTCTCCAATGAAATGTTTTGATTGTGTAAAATTTGTTAGGATAGACGACTCATTGCTGAAGAACTTTATTACAACTAGTTTAATTTCTCACCTGAAAACAATTACCCAGTTAAGCAAATTTAATTACCAACACTTTATTTTCAACTTTCGTTTTCAGCTAAATTTATATATATATTTTTTTTTTCAGCTAAACTTTGATTTTGGTTTCAGTGTTTATAAATGTTGGTGCATTACTATTGATTTCACGTACTGAAAAATTTGAGTACGTTTATTACTATTGCAGTTTAGTAATAAATAGTTATAATTAGTAATAAATAGTAAGTTTATTACTACTACTATTATCAGTTTAGCTTAACATAGTAATAATTGTGAGAGAGCTTATATCAGTTTGTGTGTTCCCTGCGATCGCTGGTAACACCACGCTTACTAATTAAACTTCAAGAACTAAATGTCAGAACGTGCATGCTAAAAAAGATAATGCTGAGATTTTTGTTGACCGCATGTTGCTTAGGAACAGTTTTCTTCATGCCTGGACAAGGATGAATCACCGAGAAAGGAGTGGAAAGGGTTTTGTGCTGCAGCATAAGGAAAAGCAAACCATCATCCTAGTATATTTTTGCTGGAAATTATGTGTACTCTAGTGTGTAAATAATCCGGCACTATGACTTCTTTGTCATTAGAGCCGGGCTGAGTGAGGAGCTGTCATACATGCTTGCACTGGAGGCAATCACGTGCATGCATGCAGCATGTGCAGTAAACAGTCTGAACATGCCAGTCGCTGCGAGCAAGAACCCGCTGTGTTTATGAGATTCACCATATGCACCATTTAGATTTTCACATTCCTGTCTCTCCGCTGCGGACGTATGGGAGGAATTGTTTGCATATGGACACACTGCATTCATTCTGGGTACCTGCATGCATCTGTGCATACTGCATTATGTTTGCGTACATGGCTTTAAGCATGCATGAGTGTTAGTAAAGCTGACAGCTGCCCTCAAGCTCAGGTTTGCATGTTCTCCGTGTGGCTGCGAGCGGATACTGGCGCGTGGGTGGATGTCTGTCAGTAGACCCCTTTAGGTCTAACAGAACCCCACCTCCTCTTTCCCTCGCTCTCTCGCTATCTCTCTCGGAGGCAGGCTGAGGCAAATTGAGTCATGAAGCCTGAGCACGTGCCAAAGGCAGCCCTGAGCGAATTAAGACGCAGCTCTCCTCGCCATCTAGCACTGAGGCTGGAGATTCCTTACACGTGAGGGACTCTCCTACTTTCCCATCACATTCTCATGCTTTCTGTATCCCTCGCTGCTTCTTTAGCAGCTTAACAGGGTGCAATCCGTCCGTTCCTCCTCCGTCCTTTTTGTCTGTTTTAAACAGCCAATTAACAGGAACCAGAAAGCGATCCAAAAATATATCAGGCGAAACTTCACAGCTATTGATTTTCATAAAATTTCTGTCTGCCCCCAACTAATCTCTATATCCGATATGTGCTCCGCCAATTAAAGTCGCAGGACCTTTGAGGTTCTGATCAATAGTGGATGTCCTCATCTCTCACAAGGTTTGACTTCACACACGGCCAGATGAAAAGCCTGAAACCACCACTGTCGTGTCTGAAACCAAGCTGCTAATTACTTAAAACCCGTTGACACCAAGAACGATAACTATAGCGATAACTATATTATCATCCACACCAACACACGATAACATATGTTAATTATAAACAGCGCGCTGCAGTTTTGTCATTTACCACTTTAAATGCTCAAGCTCTTTAAAGTTGGATGGATTCTAATTGGCTGTCAATGGTTTTATTGTTCATCAGCTGAAAACAAAAAACATTCTGAAAGTGATTCCTGCGATATTGTTCCTCTATCGCTTTAGTTGTGATGTGGACATCACTATAGAATTTGAGTGAATATTAAAACTTGATCTTATAGGAATCATTATAGTTATCATCCTTGGCATAAATGGCACTTTTACATAAAGCTAATGAAACGTAACTGGTTTCAGACCGGATTCTAAATGTGTGGCCACATTAGTGCTATTCCAGGGAAATTTCATATAGGCCTACAAAAAGTCCATTATTTATTCTCAATACTGTAATGATGTATAAAGCACAACTCACACAGAAGCCACTTTTAAACCAAGCAGCTTTCTGTTGATCAGCACAGCGAATTTTAACTTGAACATGAGCGAAATCTGTGTATGGACATTTTCGGCGTCATGCAAAACTCCTGAACATGCGCATTCCTATTAAAATTACTATATTTCGACTGTGAAATTTTGCCAAGCAACGATAAATGTAACTTTACCTTAAAGGAACACTCCACTATATTTGAAAATAGGCTCATTTTCCAACTCTCCTAGAGTTAATGAATGGATTCGAAAACGGTAAAACTCAACTGTTTAACTCTAGGGGAGTTGGAAAATGAGCCTATTTTCAAAAATAGTGGAGTGTTCCTTTAAGGCAAGTATATGCAAAGCATTGTGATGTTATGTATATTTAAACTGACAGTAATTTGTAGCAAAAAAGCAATCAGAAGTCATTAATTTTCAATGTTTTCTGCTGTCTGATTAGGTTAGATGCTGCAGTCAACTTGGAACCTCTTAGCAAACTTCAGTCAATGAATCACTGTTAGAGTGAAACTAAAATCAATCGTTTTGAATGCTACAAGTGAATTTAGGAATCACAACATTATAATGTACAGCATGAAAAATGAATATTCATTTTGAGATTTGCAAAACATTTTAACAGTGTAACAATATTAATTATAAATAATGTTTAAAATGAATATTTAATGTAATGTTTTAAAGATTAACTAAGTGGAATAGATGATGACAACGGCAAAAAAATTAAAACAGGACAAATGAGCATGAACTATTAAATATACAATATTTTCCCGTATAAGTGAATTCAAATATGGTAACGTATGGCTGCACAAAATCTAATTGCAGTTTTTTTTCTGATAAAAGTTGTGATTGCAACTTGTTGTGATTTTAAAAAAGCCCCAGATGTGCTATGCTTGATTGTAAGGCTGCACAAGTTGGCCAAAATGTTGTGATTATATTATTATTATTATTAATATTTATTTATCTATATTATTATTATTTAAAAAACACACTGGATCACAAGTTTGCGTGTAAAAGAACACACACAGCACTTTTTTAAATTAAATCGCAATCATGTCATGATTTCGGTTTTATTTTGATTAATCATGCATCCTTATGTTACAATATTCTGAGCACCCTAAATTTACATTTTTTTAAGCACATTTTTTTTTCAGCTTTCGGACAAAGCCACTGAGCTATTTTTACACCTATTGTTAAGAATGAAGCAGCTCTAAATAGCATTCATACAGCTGTCAATAAAAGGCAATGTGCAATTTCCTGGAAATCAGTGGCATATGCTCTACCACAGGCTGACTGAGCAAACAAGCAAGGTATGAATCCTCAGCAGCAGGTTAATAATGCAGAAAGGGATGGAGAAAGAGAGAGCCGGCTATGGAAGAGCGCTTTTGTTTGCTCTCGTCTTGAATTTTCCAAGCACATGGTCCACCAGAGGCTGTTGTGTTTACATGCGTCAGGACAAGATGCTCTAAGGGAAAGTGACTTTCCACACCGCCCTGACATATACAGGAGAGATGGGAAAGAAAAATAAAGGAACATGGGCACAGAGTGCCTCTCAGAAGGGGAGAAAACACATTCTATATGCATGATCAAATCAGAAGAGGTCAGAGGTATAATGAAAGAGATATTGCTCTTCATGCAACCTGGGATTAGCAAAGCTAATGAGCTCCATCTATAGCAGTCCTCCACCTGAGTTCCTCCCACCACTTCACATGCACACACACGCCAATACATAATCATACATTATATTCAGAGTGGGATCATGCATAAGCACGCAATCAGCCTTGACCTTTTGAAATGAAAGGGTTTCATGTACTATGGAAACACATTGAAACTTTCATAACTGAAAAGTTCTCCCAAGACCAAAAAAAAAAGAAAAGAAAAAATTAATTAATTAATTAAAAATAAATAAATCTAAAATAAACAGTAAAAAAAAAAAAGGTTAGTGGACGCTCAGAACAACCTGTTTTATAGCTTTTTTTTATTCATTCATTCATTCTTTCTTTCTTTTTTTACTAAGAGATATATATATATACAGTATATATAATAATAATTTCATTAAAAAAATTAAAGGATGAATAAACAGTATGATATCTGGGATATTCTCACCCAAATACAGCACATTTATTTTATAAATAATATCATTTAAATTATTAATTAAATTAATATTTTGGCAAAGACACATGTAAAAAGGGCCCCCCCCCCCAATAAATAATAAAATAAAAATAAATAAAAATAAAATAAACAAAAAAAAAAAAAAAGGTTAGTGGACGCTCAGAACAACCTGTTTTATAGCTTTTTTTTATTCATTCATTCATTCTTTCTTTCTTTTTTACTAAGAGATATATATATATATATACAGTATATATAATAATAATTTCATTAAAAAAATTAAAGGATGAATAAACAGTATGATATCTGGGATATTCTCACCCAAATACAGCACATTTATTTTATAAATAATATCATTTAAATTATTAATTAAATTAATATTTTGGCAAAGACACATGTAGTAGTAGTAGTAATAATAATAATGATAATAATAATAATAATAATAATATTTTGTAATTTATAAACATCTTTCCCGAGCTCAAGGTTGCTTAAAAAATACTAATACTAATACTAATACTAATACTAATAATAATAATGATAATTAAAATTAAATAAATAAATAAATAATAATTAAAAATAAAACTGAATAAATACAAGTCATTTTAATTATTTACACTCAAATACAGCATATTTATTGTTTAAATAATATCATTATTAAAGTAATAAATTTAATTATTATTTAGCACATATTAACACATTCATAATTTATTTTATATAATAATAATAATATATTCATTTTAAAAATAAAAATAAATAAATAATATGACCATTTTAATTATTCTTATTTAAACGCAGCATATTTATTGTAAAAGATAATATTATTAATATTAATAAATTAAATTAATATTCATCCATATTTATGTGTAGAACTCATAAATATTTACGTGTAGACTAGAATAATCCCTCTCAAAATCACTCCTGTAAAAAGAAAAGTCTTACCGTCTGAGTCGATGCTGTTGAGTGCGGTAGGGGGGATGATGGACACTTTGCACTGGCCGAGGGGACATTTGCGGGGGTAGAGATCCATGCATGCCGTGTGCACCTGTCCAAGCACAGACGGCTTTTAGAGTTCACAGGCTCTCTGAACTGAAGTAGTCATAAGGGATTCTGGGATATGCAGTTCTTACCATGGCCTTGCACCATAAACAGCGCCAGTCCTGCAAGCGCAGCACGCTGCCACAGGTTTTGTCGCAAACGGCACACTTAGCACTGACAGGCAGGTTGCCTTCCAGCCATTGGTGTGGCATCGCAATCTACAGGAATAGAATGTAATAAAAATGTACACCATCAGTTCTGCTATTCAGTCAAAGGTTATGCATTAGCTCACTGAACCACGGGCTTTATGAGACTCACCCCATCCTCGTCCTCAATGATGTCCTTGCCGATAGAGGCCAACGTTGTCCATTTGCAGTTGTTGGTGGCCCTGACTGCGCATCTTTTGTGGGCCTTGAATTTACACACTGGAAGAGAGTAATGTGAAAACTGCTTATGAGTCTGGCCAGCAGTAACCTTGAGCTGCCTCTAAAACAATCAAGTATTTTCATTTCTGCAGAAGAAATATGAGGTGATAAAAGATGTCTGGAAAATGCTTCCTAAATCAAGCTAAAATTAAACTGCACAATATACAGTGATCAACTGAGGGGAACATTGAAGACTAACTCCTTTCTTTAATCAAAGAACAGGGGCCACATGGAGTAGACAAGCACTGTACAAAAAAATAATCATTATCTGTCATTCTGATGGATTGGCTTTCTGTCAGGCTCTATTATAATTCTTTGTTATTTTCATTTTCCTAAAAAAATCCTAAAAGTCTAACCAAGGCTGCATGCATAAATAAAAAAATACATTAAAATTGTGAAATATTAGTACAATTTAAAATAATTGTTGTCTATTGCAATGTATTTTATAATGTAATTTATCCCTGTGATGCAAAACTGAATTTTCAGCATCATTACTCCAGTCTTTTGTGTCACATGATTCTTCAGAAATCATGCTAATATTCTGATTTGATGCTCAAGACACATTTTTATTATTATCAATGTTGAAAACAGTTGTGCTGCTCAATATTTTAGTAGAAACTTTTTGAAGCTTAGAATTTTTTTTTTCAGTATTCTTGATGGCTAGAAAGTTCCAGCATTTATTTTACATAGATAAATGTCTGTCAGTTACTGTCACTTTTGATCAGTTTAATGTGTCCTTGCTGAAAAAAAATCTTACTGACCCCAAACTTTTTTGGATATTTATATTCATACAAATACAGAGTTCTGGCTTGAAACTCTAGATGGCGCAGTCCGATAGGTCTAACTCAATCTGACCTAATGACATCATTATCACATGGCACAGCTGATTGGTTCTCTCCTGTATTGGTAGCCAATGAGCTCGCTGCTCAACATTCAAATATATGACTAGAGCTTGCCGTAGCAGTTGCAGCTTGCTTCAGAAACCCTCCACCTTCCCCAGCTCCACCTGTATAGATCTGCTACGATGTATTCATGTATGAAGGGGGTTATTCCATGTATGTTATATTTGCAGCAGCAATATTTCTTACATGCTCACAGCAGCATATTGTGGATGTTTTGGCAGTAGCTAGTCTCGGTACTTGCTCTGCCGCAGCAGAAGCGTAGCAGATCTATTCCGCCAAGACCAAATACATTAACATTGTCATGTACATTACAATGCCAATCCATCCGAGAGTTGTCATGACAGAATTCCATTTGTATATGTAGATTGTGCCTTGATATTCCCAATATTAACATTTTCAATAAGTACATTTCTTTAATGACACTAAGTAAGCCAGTTACATTTATTGCGCAACACTGGCAATAACATATGCATTACTATTTTCAAAGTTTGAAAAAAAAATCTACAAATCTACATTTCTAATCTCTATTAGCATCCATTACTCTACGAGTCTTTCTAAAGTAGGGAAACAATAGACTGGTTGTCTTATTTTTCTATCCGTCATGACAAAGCATTTTGAATTATGTATTGATTTCTTCTAAATTCTGGAAACTTTCAGCTCACTCGACCTCTAAACCACACAGGCGCTGTTTTTGTCCTCACCAGTGGTGTGGGTGAGGTCCAATAAGCTAATGGCCGATAGTTCTTTGTTGATTTCCTCTATTAAATTGCATTGCAGGTCTAATCAAGTTAGCAATGTTCATCTGGTCGTTTCCAGAAGGAGAATTAAGTGGCTGATTGATTGGCTGGCTGGCTTCCTACTCCATAATGTACGCTTCAGCACATTATCGTGGCCACCTCCATTCCTACGAACTTAAAATGCATACTCAGCTGTTTCCCGACAGAGATGCCACAATCAGTGCAGATGTCTCTACAAGAGAACCACTAAACATCCTGTACGTTCAGGGTCCGAGCTGTTCTGTACACACAGGGCTGACTGGCGCCCACAGTCCAAGAATCAGACCCTGAAAAGGCATCAAATCCAGTTAAATCAGCCCATCTCAGTGTCTGAGCGCATTACGCCTCCATATGCTGCCGGGGTTTCTAATGTCCTGTAGGATTACACAGATTTGTGGTGACACGGCTAATCACGCCAGCGCAGAAGCGCATTTAGCCCAGCCAAGCCCTGCCAGCCGGGACGCCACACAGTCACCACAGAAAGTGTTTCCTTCCTAGCGTTTTCCAGCACCAGAATGGATACTGCATGGGCTGAACGGGGCTGTTTACAGGAAAGGAAGCCCAGCGCTTATGGTATGTCCGACGCTGAGAACTTCTACTTTCTGCAATGCCGTTCCTCAATAATAAATGAGGAGACTCATCTATTGAGACGAGACGAGAGAGTGCGCATCCTCTTCAGAGAATCATAATGCCAATCAGAGAGCGCTTCATCTCGCTTGAGCTCCGCTCTCATCTTGTAATCAGAGCTGGTCTACGCTCAGACCATTTCACATGGCTCTGAAAACAAATCTCCAATAAATCACTCTAATGTCATTTTCAGGGCTGTTAGCAAACCATTTACAGACAATTCAGTAATGCCAAGTAAACGTAAGACTGTTTACGATGCGCTGCTAATGGACAGGATGTCTCTGTCAAATTAGAGAGTGAGAAATATCGAGTTTGCCTCTTTTGTTGGGGCCCATGTCTCACATCAATCCTTATTGATTGGCTGTTGCAGGAAATCGAAGTGAAATATAAGCAGCAATGATCGTTCTAAACTTCAAGTCTCTCAACTTGGTGAATCCTGCTGAAAAACCAGTGTAGGCCTGAATGAATTCCTATGCTGGACCAAACTGCTAAGAACTGGCTGGCGAAGCTGGTTAAGCTAGTCAAGAAGATTTGTTGGGACACCAGCGCATCAAACGTATGCTGCTGACCAGCTGACCACTTAAGTCTGGCCTTTGTGATCCTGTTTCAAAGTTAATTCCCAGTGCCTTGTTTGGCCAACATGATTATGTGTAAGACCGGACAAGAGTCTGAGCCCACAATCATATTTTCAAGGTCTTGGTCAACCCTGTTCAGGTCTCGGTCTTGACTCGTATTCAACTCTGTTTAGGTCTTAGTTTTGACTCAGACTCAACCCTCTTTGGGTTTCAGTTTTGATTCCGACTCAACCCTGTTCAGGTCTTGGTCTTGACTCGTATTCAACTCTGTTTAGGTCTCGTTTTGACTCAGACTCAACCCCCTTTAGGTCGCAGTCTTGATTACGACTCAACCCTGTTCAGGTCTTGGTCTTGACTCGTATTCAACTCTGTTTAGGTCTCGGTTTTGACTCAGACTCGACCCTCTTTAGGTTTCAGTCTTGATTCCGACTCAACCCTGAACCTTAAGTATCGGTCTTTACTCAGACTCAACCATTCTCCAGTCTTAGTCTTGACTCAGACTCAACCCTCTTCGTGTCTTGGTCTTAATCCAGACTCAAACTACTTGGGTCTCGATCTGGACTCAGACTCGAATGAGCTGGTCTCGACTAAAAAATCAAGCTTGTGTTGATTTTACAAGAATATGAACTAATTACCAATTAACTCCACTTTGGAAGTCAATAAGCTGATATGATTAAGAAATAATGATGCATACTTGCTACTATATATTGAGAAAAGCTTCATCTGTGTCTATAGCTGCTTTCAAATCATGTTGGAATGATAACATTTTTCATTGTGGATGTTGATTGTACAATTTACAATTTAATTCAGACGCATATAGTATTGTGTACTACTATTAATGAAAATTGATGAAGCATGTCAGAAAATACAACCTATTTAGCCAGTTAATGAAGCAAATACATTGTAACAGTGCAAGAAAGATGAAAACATAAAGCAAGAACTACAGACCTAAAATATTTTAATTTTGTTGCATTACTGCTAAAAAGCTTCCTGTATTTGCCAATAAGCCAAAAAGACAGGAAGAAATATGAAAGTGCTTAGCTCAAGCATTTTTTTCTGACCAGATTCATTTAAATGCACATTTATGTCAGAACTTATCAAAAGGACTTAAAAGATTAAATTAGATTAGATTAGATTAGATTAAAAGCAGAATATTTTCAAAGTCTAACACAGCCTTATTGATTTTTTAAAACAGTTACTATTTAATAAAAATATTAAGGAAGCATTTAAACATTATTTTATTCATCAGATGCATTAAGGGCCATCCACAGAACAAACAGTCCAGAGTCAACTGTTACTGTAGCTGTAATTAAGCACAGCTAGAATGCTACAATCAGCATCCAGGACTGCAATTATCAGTTTTGTAAATAATCTTTCTCGTTCACTCAGTAGTCCACTCTAATGCCATTGTCTGCGAACAGCCGAAACAAAAGCAATTTCCATGTGAACACAAGCGGATCTCGGGTTTGAAGATGGTAATGAGAGGTTTGTTGAAAGAAATGAGATCATCTTTCCACAGTAACACATACAGTAATTAATACTCAGGAGTGAGTCTGCTTGTGGGAAACGCAAACGCCGTGACAACAGCACTGGAAAGTGCTCCTTAATTATTTCTCTCTAGAACACTGCGACCACATGCAGAACCACACAAATCCACTTTTGCCTAATGCAACGTGACCCCAGGAAACTGTCGTACTAAATGGCGTCTTGATGTTTTGGTGGAAAATCAACATTAGGAAACATTAGGATGGCGGTGATGACGAGGCTTGTATTATTCACAAAGCAGTGTGAGTTTCACTTGAATTTCTCATTAAAACTGAGGCGTGAGTGAGAGGCTTACTATTTTTACTTCCTGCTATGTGAGAGCCAATGACAGTCAGCCGAGTTTAATGAGCACCATCTGCATATCTCTGAAAGTAATTAGCACTCTCTTTCCACATGATGTCACACCATTAGCATGCATAATGCATGATCCTGGATGTGGTATTTTTAGTGAGAGTGTTTTAACCTGCCAGCATGTACTTTGAGGTGATTCTACACATAACTCAAAAATAGCCACAAACTTCAACATCAAGATTTTATATGAAAACAAACAAACAAACAAAAAAAGCTGTAAAATACACAAAATGTTCATGAATGTACATGGGAAAGTATATATTTTAGGTGCTGTGATTGGTCACCATTTCTGTCAGTATTTTAAAAAACTTTTATTTTATTTTATTTTACAGATTAACCTTTTATTCATAAGAATGTTCATATTGTGTATTAATAATTGACTCATGATATTCCAAAAGTTGTCTTTCTAATCTTGTATCAAATTATATTGTATTATCAAATTTTAAGCCAGTCATCTAAATCATACAGT